AATTGTCATTCAAACTGTGACAGTGCTGAAAGCTGAAAATTTGCCTGGGCGGGAAGGGGGTAAAAGTTCCCAGTACTGGAGTGGTTAAACATCACCACTGAACTTGGAGAGTATGTCTAAGGATTTATTTGGAACGTTAGATGGTTCTGACTCCAGGTCACATTTTGCTTCCCATTATACTCATTCTCTTATGCCATTCTATAGAAAACAGCAATGATCCCAAATTAGTTACAATCTGATACTCTACTTGGGGAACACCTGCAGTAAAGGATACATTGCTACGTTTCTCAGATTTGCCTGCAAAAGTGTTTATATTTTGTTTCCCACTATATGCTTTGGGCATTCCTTGCTGTCATTCACCTTTGCCAGTCCATAGAAAACAAAGATAATCCTGCTTAATCTCAATATTAAACATCACAACTGAATGTGGAGAATATGTCTGCTACCATTTTATTTTCTTATATACCTAATGATTTTGACTCCAAGTCACATCTTGCGTCCTATTCTACTCTATGAGCATTCCCTTCTGTCATTCACCCTCGTCATTCAATAGAAAACAAATGATAATCCCACTTCATCTCAATGTTAAACATCACCACTTAACGTGGAGAGTAGGTCTGTTGAGGAAATGACAGCTGGAAAATGACAAGCTATATTTTGACAAAAATGACAGTTACATGACACAGATTTGTCTGCAAATACATTCACATTTTGCTTTTCATTATTTTCTATGGGCATTCCCTTCTGCCATCCACTTTTCTCATTCCATAGAAAGCAATGATAATCCTGCTTAATCTCAATCTTAACCAACACCACTGAGGGCTGATTCAAACATGTGTGATGCGGACTGAAGCTCAGGTTTCACAGCTGATACAGTAAACTGTTCACAGGTTCAGGTCAGGTTTACATCAGGTTCAGGACAGGATTACCTCAGGATTTTATCTTGTTCACACATATGCGGTTTAGGAACGGTTCCCATAGAAGTCAACAGCCTGTAATCTGCACCTGAACCTGAACGCATTGCTCAGAAATCATACATGACTGAATCCGCACCAGCTGTGCACGGGACATCTGTGAACAGGCACCATACGATGTAATGTTTTTTCACATCTCATGTGGATTGAATGCAGTTCAAACCACATCCAATCCGCATATATGTGAATGGGCATTTAATGTGGAAAGTACATCTGCCAAGGATTAATGTAGAATGTTAAACGGTTCTGACACCAGGTCGCATCTTTGTTCCCATTATACTCTATGGGCATTCTCTTTTGTCATTCACCCTTGTAATTCCATAGAAAACAGCTATAATCCAAATGATTTAAGTTTTGCAATCTGCTACTCTACTTGGGGAACACCTGTAGTAAAGGTTAAACTGCTATGTATCACAGGTTTGTCTGCAAATGAGTTTATATTTTGCTTTCTATTATATTCTATGGGCATTCCATTCTGTACTTCACTGTTGTCATTCCACAGGAAACAATAATAATCCCAAATTCTCAATTTTTTACATTACCACTGAATTTGGAAAGTATGTCTGCTAAGGATTTATTTGATGTCTAATGGTTCTGATCTCAAGTCACATTTTACTTCCCATTATACACTATGGGCATTCCCTTTTGTCATTCATATGTCATTCCATAGAAAACAGCTATAATCCCGAATTATTATAATTGTAGTGCGCTACTCTACTTGGGGATCATCTCTGGTAAAGGATAGTTTGCTACATGACACAGATTTGTCTGCAGTCATATCTTGCTTCCCATTATATTCTATAGACATTCCTTTGTGTCATTCATCTGTCATTCCATAGAATAATATAATCCCAAATCATTTTACTCTTATAATCTGATCCTTGGGGAACACCTGTGGTAAAGGTGACGTTGCTATTGAGATTTACTAAAGCCAGTTCACTCAAAACCTTGTGCAGCTGTGCGTGGTAGCCAATCAGCGTCTAATCTCTGCAAGTTCAGTTAAACTTTGGTAAGAAAACCTAAAAGCTGATTGTTTTCTATGTAGAAGTGCACGAGATTCCGAGTGAACCAGCTTTAGGAAATAAACCCCTATGTTCCTCAGATTTGTCAGCAAATTTTGTTTATATTTTGCTTCCCATTATACTCTATGGGCATTCCTGTCATTTATTTTTGTCATTCCTTAGAAAACAATATTAATCCCACTTCATCTCAATTTTAAACATCACCACTGAACTAGGAGAGCATGTCTGCTAAGGATTTATGTGATATGTCTAATGGTTCTGACTCCATTACTCTCTATGGACAATCCCTTCCCCTCCATTATTCTCTACGGACAATCCCTTCTCTTCCGTCATTCTCTACGGACAATCCCTTCTCTTCCGTCATTCTCTACGGACAATCCCTTCTCTTCCGTCATTCTCTACGGACAATCCCTTCTCTTCCGTCATTCTCTACGGACAATCCCTTCTCTTCCGTCATTCTCTACGGACATTCCCTTCTCTTCCGTCATTCTCTACGGACATTCCCTTCTCTTCCGTCATTCTCTACGGACATTCCCTTCTCTTCCGTCATTCTCTACGGACATTCCCTTCTCTTCCGTCATTCTCTACGGACATTCCCTTCTCTTCCGTCATTCTCTACGGACATTCCCTTCTCTTCCGTCATTCTCTACGGACATTCCCTTCTCTTCCGTCATTCTCTACGGACATTCCCTTCTCTTCCGTTATTCTCTACGGACATTCCCTTCTCTTCCGTTATTCTCTACGGACATTCCCTTCTCTTCCGTTATTCTCTACGGACAATCCCTTCTCTTCCGTTATTCTCTACGGACAGTCCCTTCTCTTCCGTTATTCTCTACGGACATTCCCTCCTCTTCCATTACTGTCTATGGACATTCCCTCCTCTTCCATTACTGTCTATGGACATTCCCTCCTCTTCCATTACTGTCTATGGACATTCCCTCCTCTTCCATTACTGTCTATGGACATTCCCTCCTCTTCCATTACTGTCTATGGACATTCCCTCCTCTTCCATTACTGTCTATGGACATTCCCTCCTCTTCCATTACTGTCTATGGACATTCCCTCCTCTTCCATTACTGTCTATGGACATTCCCTCCTCTTCCATTACTGTCTATGGACATTCCCTCCTCTTCCATTACTGTCTATGGGTATTCCCTCTTCTTCCATTACTGTCTATGGGTATTCCCTCTTCTTCCATTACTGTCTATGGACATTCCCTCCTCTTCCATTACTGTCTATGGACATTCCCTCCTCTTCCATTACTGTCTATGGACATTCCCTCCTCTTCCATTACTGTCTATGGACATTCCCTCCTCTTCCATTACTGTCTATGGACATTCCCTCCTCTTCCATTACTGTCTATGGACATTCCCTTCTCTTCCATTACTGTCTATGGACATTCCCTTCTCTTCCATTACTGTCTATGGACATTCCCTCCTCTTCCATTACTGTCTATGGACATTCCCTCCTCTTCCATTACTGTCTATGGACATTCCCTCCTCTTCCATTACTGTCTATGGACATTCCCTCCTCTTCCATTACTGTCTATGGACATTCCCTCCTCTTCCATTACTGTCTATGGACATTCCCTCCTCTTCCATTACTGTCTATGGACATTCCCTCCTCTTCCATTACTGTCTATGGACATTCCCTCCTCTTCCATTACTGTCTATGGGTATTCCCTCTTCTTCCATTACTGTCTATGGACATTCCCTCCTCTTCCATTACTGTCTATGGACATTCCCTCCTCTTCCATTACTGTCTATGGACATTCCCTCCTCTTCCATTACTGTCTATGGACATTCCCTCCTCTTCCATTACTGTCTATGGACATTCCCTCCTCTTCCATTACTGTCTATGGACATTCCCTCCTCTTCCATTACTGTCTATGGACATTCCCTCCTCTTCCATTACTGTCTATGGGTATTCCCTCCTCTTCCATTACTGTCTATGGGTATTCCCTCCTCTTCCATTACTGTCTATGGACATTCCCTCCTCTTCCATTACTGTCTATGGGTATTCCCCTGCCCTGTTACAGTCATTGGGCATTCCATTGTGTCATTCCTTTTAGTATGTCCCCTTTAAGCACACCCATGTGAACAAGTCCTAAACAACCTGATCAGGAGCCCCCTGTGCACCATCGATGGTGGCAGGTTGTACAACCAACTTGTATAGTGTATGGCCAGCCTGATAGGACAGGAACATGGCGGCCAGCCCCTACTGTACACTCTCCAATGACAGCCCCCAGCTCCCCCCCTGGACTGTCAGTCCGGCCCCTCCTCTCACATTCTCGTAGCAGTTCATACACAGGGACTCGATCTCCGCTGGTTGCTGCTCCTCGTCCTCGGCGCTGATTTCCCGGAACACGGAGGACACCGGCCTGGGGCCGCTCAGGACGGACATAGTGACGGCTCTCTGCTAGGCCTCCACCCAACTCACACCGAGCACGCTTCCTCCACCGACCACGTGACCAACCCGGAACTCTCTGGCCGCCCCACACGTGTAACTTGGGGCCGCCCACTCTTAAAGGGGAATGATAGTATTTTTAGATCAGGACTAGGGAGAGGACGTAGTGTCCTTACTTCACATGCGCCGGTTCCGAATCTTCCATCCAGTGGTAGTGACTTGGCCGGGGGAGGAGCCGATCACACTGGAAAGAACCCATTGCTTGCCCGAAAAGGTTTACTGTGTAACTAGCGGGCGATACTAAAAAGCACCCACTTGTAACTTGACAGATGTCATGTGACAGAAGAGGGAGGAGTCGCCCTTCACTGCACATCCCTGACCTGTATGATTATAGAACGTCACCGACAACGTCACGGGGGGGGCATATCCCGGTGTCTGAGCTCCCACTGCTTGGGTGGGTGTCGGGGTCAGTTTTGGGTTGCCGCCTCATCCCTCTAATCCCGGACACATAGATACAGGTCCTGTGGATGATTAAGGTGGTCATTCTTGTCTGCAAGAAATCAGCTTCAGAGCCTGTGTGATGAATATGTGTTTGGTGCAGGGGCGGACTGACAACTCATGGGGCCCCCGGGCACTAGGGGATCATGGGGCCCCTGTATCCTTGCCCAAACATGTTTTGCTTATACACATGTTATTCCCTTTGTGTGTATTGGGGACAAAACAAAAAAATTGGAGGAAAGAAAGCAAATTCGACATAATGTGCACTCAAACCTCCAAAAATGGGCTGGACAAAAGTATTGGCACCCTTTTCACAACTCAAAAAAGCCTATGAAAAAGGTACCAGGGGCATCTCATGGGGCCCCCTACCCCCTACTGACCCCGGGCCCTCTGGCAGTGCCCGAGTTTCCAAATGGTCAGTCTGCCCCTTGTTTGGTGTGCGATGTATATACGATGTGTGTGATTGATATATACCTATATATATATATACTGTGCCACATATACACAAAATGTGTGCGATGTGTGTGATAGAGATATATATATATATATATATATATATTATATATATGTACAATGTGTGCTATGATGTATATACGATGTGTGTGATATATATATATATTTATATATATATATATATATATATATATATATATATAGAATGTGCGATGTGTGATATATATACATAATGTATGCGATGTGTGCGATTATTATATTATATTATATATATATAATGTGTGCGATGTGTATATACGATGTGTGCGATATATATATATATATATATATATATATATATATATGTGCGATGTATATACGATGTGTGCGATATATATATATACACGATGTGTTGTTATATACATGTGTGTTGATATATATATATATATATAATATATATATAATATATAAATATATGAATATAGAATAGTGTGATGTATATATGATGTGTGCGATATATATATATATATATATATACAATGTGTGAGATGTGTGTGGATGTATATATACGATGTGTGTGTGTGTATATATATATATATATATATATATATGTGTGTATATATACGATGTTGATGTGTGTGATATGTGTGTATGTATATATATATATATATATATATACACACACACACACACACACGATGTGTGCGATATACAGTTGCAAGAAAAAGTATGTGAACCCCTTGGGATTACGTGGAGTTTTGCATGAATTGGGCATAAAATGTGCTCTGAACGTCATCTAAGTCACAACAATAGAAGAACACAGTCTGCCCAACATAATACTACACAAACATTAGATGTTGCCATGGTTTAATTGCACATAACATGTAAAAATTCACAGTGCAGGGAGGAAAAAGTATGTGAACCTTTGGACTTAATAACTGGTTGACCCTCCTTTGGCACCAATAACCTCAACCAAACGTTTCCTGTAGTTGCAGATCAGACCTGCACAACGATCTGGAGTAATTTTGGACCACTCCTCTTCACAAAACTGTTTCAGTGTAGCAATATTCTTGGGATCTCTGGTGTGAATCGCTCTCTTAAGGTCATGCCACAGCATTTCAATCGGGTTGAGGTCAGGACTCTGACTGGGCCACTCCAGAAGGCGTATTCTGTGCTGTTGCAGCCATTGTTTTGTTGAATTACTTGTATGCTTTGGGTCATTGTCCTGTTGCATCACCCATCCTCTGCGGAGCTTCAGTTGGCGGACAGATGGTCGTACGTTTTCCTGCAAAATGTCTTGATAAACTCTGGAATTAATTTTCCCATCAATGACAACAATCCGTCCAGGCCCTGAGGCAGCAAAGCAGCCCCAAACCATGATGCTCCCTCCGCCATGTTTTACAGTGGGGATGAGGTTTTGATGTTCGTGTGCTGTGCCTTTTTTTCTCCACACAGTGTTGTGTGTTCTTCCCAAACAACTCAATCTTGGTTTCATCTGTCCACAGTATATTTTGCCAGTAGTGCTGTGGAACATCCAGGTGCTCTTTTGCAAACTTCAAACGTGCTGCAATATTCTTTTTGGACAGCAATGGCTTCCTCCGTGGTGTCCTCCCATGTACTCCATTCTTGTTTAATGTTTTCCTTATTGTAGATGTGTCAACAAAAATGTTAGCATGTGCCAGAGATTTCTGTAGGTCTTTAGCTGACACTCTGGGATTCTTCTTTACCTCATGCAGCATTCTGCGCTGTGCTCTTGCAGTCATTTTTACAGGACGACCCCTCCTAGGGAGAGTAGCAACAGTGCTAAACTTTCTCCATTTGTAGACAGTCTGTCTTACCGTGGACACATGAACATCAAGGCTTTTGGAGATACTTTTGTAACCCTTTCCAGCTTCATGCAAGTCAACAATTCTTGATCGCAGGTCTTCTGAGAGCTCTTTTCTGCGAGGCATGGTTCACATCAGACAGTGCTTCTTGAAACCAGTAAACCCAAAACAGGTATGTGTTTTTTAAGGGCAGGACAGCTGTCAGCAACACATCCAATATCATCACACTGATTGGAGTCAAGGTTGGCTCACTCCTGGCTCCAATTAGCTCTGGGAGAAGTCATTAAGCTAGGGCCTCACATACTTTTTCCTCCCTGCACTGTGAATGTTTACATGTTATGTGCAATTAAACCATGGCAACATTTAATGTTTGTGCAGTATTATGTTGGGCAGACTGTGTTCTTCTATTGTTGTGACTTAGATGACGTTCAGAGCACATTTTATGCCCAATTCATGCAAAACTCCACGTAATCCCAAGGGGTTCACATACTTTTTCTTGCAACTGTACATATATATACATGATGTGTATACGATGTGTGCGATATATATATATATATATATATATATATATACATACACGATGTGTGCGATGTATATACGATGTGTGCGAAATACATATATATACACGATGTGTATATGATGTGTGCGATATATATATATATATATATACGAGTGTGCGATGTATATGTGATGTGTGCGATGTATATATGATGTGTGCGATATATATATATATACACACACACAATGTGTGAGGTGTGTGTGTGTGTATATATATATATATATATATATATAAAATGTGTGCGATGTATATACACGATGTGTGCGATGTATATACGTGTGTGTGTATATATATATATATATATATATATATATACGCAATGTGTGTGATGTGTATGTATATATATATACAGTTGTAAAATTATACAACACACACGGTGTTTGCGATGTATGTACGATGTGTGCGATGTATTCAGAATAATCCTACACGATGTGTGCGATATAATATATATACTATATAAATATATCAATTGTATATGTAATACACACGATGTGTAAATGTATATACTTATGTGTGCGATTATTATAATATATTCAATATATAATAGACTACCATGTGTGCGATGTATAACATGATGGTTCATACAGGTTTTTCCATATATATAAAACAATGTGTGCGCAATCATGTATATAACAACCAATTAGGCAGCTTTGTGTGACTGTGATATGCTCCTTATAGACATATATACAGGTGCAAGTTAAAAACATGTGAACCCCTTGGATTACATGGAGTTTTGCATGAATTGGGCAAGATAAAATGTGCTCTGAACGTCATCTAAGTCACAGGAACAATAGAAGAACAAGAAATTGCTGAACATAATACATACAAGAACACCTTAGGATCATTGCAATGGTTTAAACAAAGGGCATGTGAAACATTACCTGGCAGGGAGGCAGAAAGAAGATGCTGACTTCGCTTAATGACTTCTCCCTGAAGCTAATTGGAGCCAGAGTGGAGAGAAGTCCCCGTGTGAGCTAACCTTGACTCCAAACTGTGTGATGAAAGATTTGTGTTGCTGTGGGTACAGAAGTTTGCCCTTAAAAAACACACACACTGTTTTGGGTTCCGGTTTCAGAAGCACTGTCTGATGTGAACCATGCTGTCGCAGAAAAGAGCGACTCAGAAGACCTGGACAAACAATCAAGAAGTTGTTGACTTGCATGAAGCTGATGAAAAAATTACAAAAGTATCTCCAAAGCCTTGATGTTCATGTTTGGTCCACGGAGGAAGAACAGACTGTCTACAAATGGAGAAAGTTTAGCACTGTGTTGCTACTCTCTCTATGCTTTGTCGTCCTGTAAAAATGACTGCAAGAGCACAGCGCAGAATGCTTGCATGAGGTAAAGAAGAATCAGTACCAGAGTGTCAGCTAAAACCTACAGAAATCTCTGGCACATGCTAACCTTTTTTGGACACATCTACAATAAGGAAAACATTAAACAAGAATGGAGTACATGGGAGAGGAAACACCACGGAGGAAGCCATTGCTGTCACCAAAAATCCGATTGAGAACCTATTGCAGCACGTTTAAGTTTGCAAAAGAGCACCTGGATGTTCCACAGCACTACTGGCAAAATATACTGTGGACAATGAAACCAAGATTGAGTTGTTTGGGAAGGAACACACAACACTATCTGTGGAGAAAAAAAAGGCACAGCACACCAACCATCAAAACCTCATCCCCACTGTAAGACATGGCGGACTTGTGGAGCATGCTTGGTTTGGGGCTGCTTTGCTGCCTAAAAGGATGGGCCTGGAAGGATTGTTGTCATTGATGGGTTGAATAAAATGAATTCCAGAGTTTATCAAGACATTTTTGGTTATTTCAAAACTGTACGACCATTGTCCGCCAACTGAAGCTCCGCAGAGGATGGGTGTAAGCAACAGGACAATGACCCAAAGCATACAAGTAATTCAACAAAACAATGTCTGCAACAGCACAAAATATGCCTTCTGGAGTGGCCCAGTCAGAGTCCTGACCTCAACCCGATTTTGCTGTGGCATGACCTTAAGAGAGCGATTCACACAGACATCCCAAGAATATTGCTACACTGAAACAGTTTTGTGATGTAGAGGAGTGGTCCAAAATTACTCCAGATCGTTGTGTGCAGGTCTGATCTGCAATACACAGGAAACGTTTGGTTGAGGTTATTGCTGCCAAAGGAGGGTCAACAAGTTATATAAGTCCAAAGGTTCACATACTTTTTCCTCCCTGCGACTGTGAATGTTTACATGTTATATGCAATTAAACCATGGCAACATCTAATGTTTGTGTAGTATTATATTCAGCAGACTGTGTTCTTCTATTTTGTGACTTTGATGATTCAGAGCACATTTTATGCCCAATTCATGCAAAACTCCACGTAATCCCAAGGGGTTCACATACTTTTTCTTGCAACTGTGTGTGTATATATATATATATATATATATATATATATATATATATATACACACATACATACATGTGTGCGATGTGTATGCAATGTGTGCGATGTATATACGATTGTGTGTGTATATGTACATATATATATATATATATATATATACACACAATTGTATATACATCGCACACATTGCATACACATCGCACACATGTATGTATGTATGTGTATATATATATATATATATATATATCGCACACATCGTATATACATCGCACACATCGTGTGTGTGTGTGTGTGTGTATATATATATATATATACATACACATACCGCACACATCGCATATACATCGCACACATTGTGTGTATATATATATA